CAGGGAGAAGGTTAAATACAAATACAGAGCGAGCACTGACACAAAACACCAAATGTTTGGCATGCATGAAGCAATGTAATTCTAGCTGTAACCAAGACATCTGGATGCCTCACATAGCGACAAAGCACAGAGGTGAGCAAAAGGACAGACATGGGGTCTTGCAGACAGCAGGTCTGAGCATAGCTGTGCACACTAAAGCAGCACCTGCCTTACCTCCCTGCACGACACACCACCTTGACTTGCCATCAACACTTGGCCTTCACACACCCACGCCACCACAATCGCAAAAAACCTGTGCCGTGAACGCAACTCCTCCACATGATCCCCCTCCTACTTAGACTGAGGGAAAGAAGCCAAGTCAGAACAAAATGCCATGAAATAACATGGAAGGAAATCAACCAAAACGTGAACATGAGGTAAATAAAGATATTCTTGAAGATGTAACGGAGGATGAATTTAAGACTGATGATTTGGAATCCCTGCTGATGATGCAAAGATGGACAATCGGATAGGAAAAGACTTGTGAAGGAATGACAATGGGAAACCAAAAGGAAGCATGAAACGTGGATTCATAAAATGGGAAAACAAGCTGAACCCATTGGAAAGTGAATTCATTCCCACAGGGTTCCCCGATTTCTGTGATCCACCTCCAAATAAGATGAAAATCCATCCAGTACGGGAAGGTCTGTCCAAATGAAGATGACTAACAGGAACAAACTTCAGAAAAGAAGATGGGTGATAAATAGTGAAACAAAAAAGGAAAATCATAAGACATGGCATCTTCCCAATGAGTGGCTACTCTTCTTCAGACTTGGATTGTCTTCTTCCCCATTTATCCTGACAGAGAGCTGGTGTTGGTACAGCTAAGCCTGAACTTCCTTTGGACGTCTAAGAAATCCAGCAGATGGTTGAAGATCTGTTTGTTGAAGCTGCTTGAAGTTTGTTTGTAGAAGAGTCGTGATTCACTTTTTTTTTTTTTTAAATCTCCTTAGTTTGAGGAAGGGAATACGTCCAGCAGCATCGAAAAGAACAAAGAACGGCCTGGTAGTAGCACTCCTACCTTGCGCAGTTGGCATAAGCTGCTGGAGTGGAATGCCAGGTGATCCTAGAGCTACACCAGGATGCTGGAAAATCAGCCCATGGCGACCAACGTCAATCCGGCACCTCTTAGCCTGATCTGGGATTCAAAACACACAATACCCTCATAACGCAAAAAAAAGCACTCTGCACAAAGCAATGACCTTCGGAAGACCTCACAGGTCACCTCTCCTTCCCCTGGTTAAGACTTCAACACAGAGCGCTAGTAGGGGATGCCAAATATCTTAAAGCAGAAGCAATTAGAGGGAGAAAAAAAACAAACGGAAAACAAAGCAAACAGGGAGGAAACAAAGCAACACCAGAAAGACAAGAGTTTGCGATTCTTGCCCTACCTGCCATAGCCTGTTGCCTCTTAAAGGCATCCATGTCTCCAGGGTTTGTAATGGTACCACCAGAAACCTGGTGTCCCTGAAAAACAACCTCTAGGGAGTTAGAAATTAGCAACATATATCGTCAAATAAATTAAGAAAGAAATAATAGACCATTTTATCTAACAAGTGTTGCCTAGATCACCTGAAACTGCTGCTGGACAGAGAATGCTGCAGACACATTAGCAGGAAGCTGTGTTGCTATGGCAACTGGTGTCACTGCTTGGCCATCCTTTCCAGTAACAACCTTCACCTGAAAAATAAAACGATACGAGAGATTAAACATTCATTTGATAAAATGAACATGCATTCCTTTACTTGTAAAATTCCTACTTTATCTCAAATGTATAAAAAGGCAATATACCTCATCATTAATGACTTCAGACTGTTCTTCCTCTTCCTCTTCATCTTCTAGGTCCAAATCGTTCTGTCTCAAGTAGGTATACAAGGGAACACAGGGCTTCTTCTTAAAAGCAACATAGTCCATCATGTTCCCTTGCAGGTGCTGCAGAAAGAAAAGCTCAATCAAGTATTCTTTGAACACTTCTTTCAGGCTGTCCATCTTCTTGGTGTGCTGCTCCAAACATAGTTTTCTTAGCTGGGAAATCTCTGGAGTAGAAGGAGCAATTTCCTCCAACTTCTTGGGAACCAGCTTCCTCATAGTGGCCACAGCCATGCTGTTTGGTGCAAGAGGATTGTTGGAGATCCCTTGGGTTGGACTCGTGAGGGACTGGTTAGACGGTGGAATGGAGGAGGGAATAGTGAATGATGCTGTGGTTCCTACTCCAGCAACAACACCCTGCGACGTCTTCTCAAATATCATAGGGCGGGCCAGCTGTCCTTGAATGATACTGCTGATCTGTGGAGGTAGGTTTGACGTGGTGATGTGATTAGGGCTGCCCAGAGTCGAGAGAGAAGTACCGGTGGCAACAGGACTTTGAGGTCCGTGGTGGTGGATGGTGCCTCCAGTCTGTGAGTGAGGCTGAGAGAGCCGGCGCTCTCTCACAGAGCCTGGTGCTCCTGGAGAGGCCAGCTGTATCTGGCCAGGTGTGGCCGGGGCAATCTGGGCCAGCCCTGTACCTTCCTGGTAAACAAAGTGGCCACTTCCCGATGGACTGTTTAAGCTGATTTGCCGCACTAACATACCAGTATCAACAAATCTTGTTGGACTCTGTCCACATACACCCAATGCTGTTGCAGGTGCTCCTGGCCTTGTGACCGGGCTGTGCTGGGTGGGACTTTGGGGCTGCATGGGTTGGGGCACAGGTGAGGTGACCTGGATGTAGGAGGATGGAGCGTGCTCAAACCTCCACTGAGGTGTAGCATGCTGGAAGCCAGGGGATGATGGGTTTTGTATGGGAAGTGGTGTAAGAGTGATCTGCTGGTTACCAGTCACCATCTGTCCCACATTTTGTAATGTGATGTTCATGTTCTGGCCGGTGACTGGGCTGCGACTCATGATTATCTGATAATTGGGCGATTGGGGTGCTGAAGGGCTGGCAGCAGAGGAAAATGTGGTCACAGGAGATTGAGGGTGGTTAGCTGTAGCTTGCTGCTGCGTGACTGCCATGGTGGGCTGCTGTTGCTCCTCTGCTTCAGCCCCACTGGCAGGCTTGGATCTCTGAAGCTGTCGTTGCATATTCTGTGATCCACTTCCATGGTGCATTGCGTAAAACTGTTACTATGTCTATACACAATAATCTGTGGAGAGGGAAAACAAAACATAATGATAAGTGATGCTTGACTATTGAATGGGAACCAAAAAGAAAATAGTCAGAAGCGTTTTTCTCTTAGGTAACCCAAGTATTCTATAGGTTTGGAGCGCATGGTTACATGACACAAATGTAAAACGCTCCTAGATATCAGACGTCTCAATGATTTGTAATTACAATACACAGAATACGATTTTTTCCAACAGTCAGGTCAGGGGATGGGCATGAGTACTCATATTGGATGTCAGCTTTTGGTTTACATATAGAGTACTCATATACTTATTTAAATAATAAATATAAGCATAAAGTGACCCTGTTAAATTAACTGTGTGTGAAATGTTGAACTTAACGGGCAGTACGGTACCGTTTGACAGCTCAGAGCTGGCACATCATCACACACACACACACACACACACACACATTAAAATGCACTCATTTGGCACAGCGATTGTGTGTTAAAAGCAATGTTGAAAAGGGATGTTACAGACAGTATATACACCTTGAAAGCACAAATGTATTTATGACTATAATACGCAGTATTTAACATTCTGTTTGTGTTTATCTTTTTCTATTTTACATGTATTTAGACTCATGCATTTACAACATTCTCTGCAGCATTTAGCTTATTGTATTTTATTTGACATGTTTATAATTCACTTCTCCTGCATTACCTGCACACTGGTCTTGCAACATAATTTTGCACAATTTGTATTGTTGTTGTTTTTTAAATTAGTTTAATGTCTTGTTTATATTTAGGGTGCATTGTTGGAGGAGCATGAGACCTTTCCTTGCCATAACTACACTGTAGCTAGCTACTGTGCATTAGACAATAAAGCCTTATTAATCTCATTAAGTTATTATAGCTATTGCCAATCTTTACACTTGTGTGAACTTTTAAGCTAACGAAATATATATACATAACTGGATAAAGAATGAGGCTGTTTATCACTGTAAATCAGCTAAAGCAATCAACATATTAAACAAAGGTGACAGCAGTACTGATACTGGTGATGGAGATTTGTACGGTTAGTGATGGCATATTAACAGCACATTATAACGGGGAGACATTTTGTAGTAGACTGACTACTCTTTTTTCACAACACAATAGCATTACTACATATCTCAATTAGATGTACATGGTAGTATCAAAGACTTTAACGTTAGCTACTTGCAGTTTCGCTACGGGGCGTAACGTTAGCTAACACAAGTAGCATTACACTAAGACATAAACACCGGCAATTATCACAATATTTAGGTAGGGACTATGGGTAGGGGGGGAAATATTTTCACAGTACATCACAAATAGTAAACTGCAACACTTGCAATAATTCCGCATGAGCCATTTCAAGCAATTATAATGATAATTGATACGGGAGGCATGCTAGCCAATGCTAACGATGTTAGCTTGTTATTACTAGCAGGCCAGCTTCCACTGAAAAAATACATTATATCACCTCAACGGGGTTACTTACGGGGAATGGGGCTTCTGTAGAGGTTTCATAAATCCTAAGTCATATTTACAATAAGTTACATGCTGTAACAAATGTTTTTTCACGGGGGAAAAAATATCGATATTGCTAGCGGCTATTCAATGTTTTGGAGCTAATTGCATTCAGCAACATGGCGACCGCGGCAACCTTTATATAACCCGGATCTCGTTCTGTGTCCAGGAAGTGGTGTACCGAAGAAATAAAACACAGCATTGTTTTTCTGTAAAAAGGCCTGATTTGTATTTAACTGAATCCAGCTCTAATTGTAATGTTCAAGTTGTGCTTCGAGATATTTGATTTAGGATGGAGAATAAATCAGATTTGAAGAGCTCTATCGTTTTACAATAAATATTATTTATTTTCATCACACAGTGTTTAACAATTATTTTGGCAAATGTCACTGGCAGTCATAAAATACAAGTAAAAGAGACAATTTGGTACATTCTTACAAACTTACCTTTGAACACTACAATTTTTATATGTGTACATTCATTTGTGAGAAACTAGTGTAGGATTACTATCAGGCAAAAATAAAACACACAATCATTCAAATATACCATCTTTTACAAAATCTAATGTGCACAGATACAAACACTTATCTGATAAACAAAATCAATGTAGCATGCAGTTAACTACATCACCACAAGGCATTGTTGGATCAGTGGTTGTAAAACTAAAATCACATTAAAATGTCAAAATATACTTATTGCAGTCTAAGATGTAAGTTAATATGACCGTAGACTGTAAGTCTAGATTACAATGAAGACAATTATAATGCGTCATCTACTACTCTCTTGTGACGCAAAATGTGAATAAGCAGGCACAGTTTTACTATAACCGCAACACATTTGGTCATCTCATCCAAAACATTCTTAATTCTGGTGACTAGTGAACCTTTACAGTACATATAAAACCAGTGCTACAAATACAGAAAACACCTTATTTGTTTCTTGTTTCAAGTAAAACACACATTCAAAATCAGTTAATATATAATCTGATTCTATGTGCAAAACAACACACTAACTTGTACATTCTGTAACAAAACAACACTATACTGAAAACAATTTCCCTGATTGAAGTATTCAAACAATCATGCCACAATCTGTCACCGTGAACCTGTACAAAACAGGACCTGCAGTCTTTTCTGAGCATTTATGTAAAGGTTACAGAGTGGCTGGTGGGATGAGAGCAGATGCTCCAGTGGTCATTTCCCTTAAGACAGGTCAAAAGTGCTTGAGTGTATTGACATTCATAGATCCATCTAGGGCGATGGATGAGTCAAGATAATGCAGTTTGTGTGGCTTCAGTTGTAGAACTTGCGGCTACTGTTAGGTCTGTAGTGCAGTAAGGCGTCTCTCAATACACTGCTTACCTGAGAAAAGAGAGATTAAAACACATAGGATTTAAAATGACACCTATTGTATTTAGTAGAAGTCCAGCTAGAGATGCAGTTTTTAGGAACGATTCTGATTCTCAAGATTCTTTTACTCTTTATTTTTTCGCAGGTTGCCATTTTTATTTCTATGCATTTTTCATCAGCATACACAAATATTTTTTTGTTTGCTTCTTTCATAGAAAAGTAAAACTCATTTGTATTATCATAATAAAACATTGACTATTAGAATAACTCCACCAAGATACAGGACCTTCTCTCACCCTGAATCAAACACATTTGAAAATAAAAGTGCTCCAGGTGACAGGTCAACTAAAAAAGAACTTAAAATGAATTATGGAATATCCAACTTTATTTAAAAAAAATTATAATTTCCCAGAAGAAACAGTTCAACATATCTAACAAAACGCTTAATGCTGTTAATATAAAATGTCCACATTTCTTGTGAAAGTGCTGCTACAAAACTGTCTGGAGTGAGATCTCTCAGAAGCTGAACGGTTCTTATAACAAACTAATTGCTGTTGGCTATATTTTACGTAATATTCAGCAGTCTTAATATAAATACATCTCAATATAAATGTATTAAGAGCGTGAACAATGTTATCCAATAGTCTTATACTTGATTGCATCCAACACCATGTGGCACAAATAATGAGACTCATCGGTCCAACAACACCGACAGTACCGATTATTGGGTACTATACGGTACGGTTCATTTATAATGCCTAAGTTTAGCATTTAAACGACCATATTGTTATTTGTGTGTCAAAGTTCTGCCACATACATTTATCTATGCTGTCAATGTCCTTCTGCTCTGTGATGATCCGGGACAGACCCTCCATCAGCAAAAGGGCTCTTTGGTAGCGCTGGACTGATGCTGTGCCATACTGGAACATCTCGTCTAGAGCAGCACTCTGTACCTGAATGCAGCAGGAACACATGCATTACGTCTAAGATAGAGATGCATGCTGGACATATGCATTTAGAATTAGATTTGAAGTGAATATCAACATCCCCTGCTGCGAGGTGAGCTCACCATGTGCACAGTGTGGCTGTAGATGAGTTTCTCTGCTGTGAGACCATTGAAGCGGTCCATTAGCTTCTGCTTGTCCAGCAAGAAGGTCTGAAGGCGATGGTTGAGGTTGCGACAGTATGTAACACAGCGCTTGTACAATTCATTCAACTTCTTTATCACTGCACAAAGGAAATACAGTATACAAAGACCTCTTATTATTATTATTATTATAACAAATGATTATGTACTGATAGTTATTGCATCGATACTGAATCAAATAGCTGGATCGGGTAAAGGTTTAGATGACAATGGGGCCATCTATTGAATTCTATACCATGTTAATATACTATATAAATCATATACTAGTATTTAGATCATTGTTTGAGTTGTGACCAATTTGTAGCTGCCTTTAAAGTGTACACTTGAATAGTAATTCCACTTTTCCACAATTTCATAAATGTATATCTATGTATTTATTTGTTGTATTTTTTTTCTTAGGAAATCAATGTTCAAGTGAAGTGTGATGTTGTCTTACAAATCAAAGACGATCCTGGTTACCTCCAAAAAGTGAGGTAAACAGCTTATTAGTTAATAACTGGTAGTGGACCGGTCTTCACTTTCGGTTGATCTCACCTAGTTTGACTGTAGCAGAGGGAACAAGTTTGCCTTGTTTGATCGTCTCTTTAGCGGTGTGCAGTGCCGATGACAGAAACTCCTCAGCCTTCATGTACAACACCAACTGCTCCGCGTAGCTGGAATATGCACAAACCAAACAGCAGTCATTTCCAAGTTCTTAGGGAAAGTAGCGTTTGTACATATTGATACAAATATATCATGCCTCTCACCTCCATTCTTTACTCAGCAGGCTGATCTGATCTGTCACCAAGCTCTGCTCTAGAAAGGAAACATCAGGGTTGCTGGTGGCATCCACCCCCGAGTCTTTAGAAGAAGCCAATTCCATGACACAGACGACAAACGCCAAGGTGAAACGCAGGTCGCTCAGAGCATCTGTATGAGTCGGCTGGGAAAATCACCTTTAATATTAGGCTCATCTTATGTCAATCTCTTGAAAAGCACTTGGGAGTGGATTTGATTTGCTCAAAAGGCGCTATATAGATAAAATGTTGGCTTGGTTGATTGATCTACCAAAAATACATTATGTATGTAACTTAAAAACAAGCTGGAGGTTTCCCCCCACAGTATCATCGTAGTATTATTCTGTACCTCCATCAGTGTGTCTTCAGGGAGCTCTGGAGGGTGAAAGACCATACTAGCATCCATGGCTTCAGTCTCACTGTTTCTACGACTTCCTCCCTGCAGAAGGCGACTGTTCAGTAGCATGGCTGAGTTAATGTAGCTGGGGGAGCCTGCATTTAAGACAAAGACAAAAACTACTGAACTCTGAACAGCAGAAATATATCCCAGGGACATCTCACACACCTACTACAATACAAACTTAAAAAACGGTTTAAAATGAATGCACTCAACAGTCAATATTTCTCACACCTACCTGAGAACATCCTTGACAGTGTGCTATCAGGAGGAGTGCCTCCTCTGGAGGGAGAACCCATCGGGAAGACCACAGGAGGGGGGCTGTCTGAGCCCGGAAAGTCTCTCTGACAACCAGAAGGTGGAGCTGTGGGAGCAAATACAGGTTTAAGCTAAAGGCAAAGATATCCCTAAACTGCAGCTGAGTAAATGACATGGCCAAATGCATAGCAGTAGTTCCCTCAAAATATATGCTTTGCATGTAACATCAACTTACCACCAAAATAATTTAACTATATTATATTTCACATATCTTTTCGGCGTAGGTATTAATTGAATTATTATATAAAGTGTTTTCTTTACATACATATAAAGGGTGATTTCACTTTATTCTGGTATAAAATTGAATTTCAAACTAAATACATCGTCTTAAAAATAATATTTGGTGTAATATAAACTCTTATGCAAAACGATCATTATGTGCAGTATCAATATTTAATATGACAGGTGCAAACATGTGAATTTCAACCATGCAGTCTGTCTTCTATTTTTTTTGTTAGTCTTACCGTTTACTTATTATTTGCCTTTCTTTACTTATGTATCTTGTTGCACTGTCCCCTTTGCTGCTTTAACAGTAACACATTCCCTGCTGTGGGACTAACAAAGGATGATCTTATCTTATCTTAAATACTGGTGACGACAGACAAACAGTATCAGTAGAAATAAATCGAGAAGCATTTGTTTAAATGTTACCTGTAACGTCCATGCTTTTCTCAGCGTTCAGGCTCTCCGTGCTTCCCTCTTCAAAAAGGTGAGCTCCAAAGGCGGCCTTCAATAGCATGTCAGATAGCCGGGCTGTGCTTAGTGATCTGGACATACATCCACACACACCATGGACAGCGTTTAATAATGTATCAGGTGGCATATATTTTATACTGTGTGACATCTCTAGGTGCCAGGTGCCAGGATTCATTTGAATGGCAGTCTCAATTAGAAGTGACAACAAGTGCCGATTCATTCCACTGTAATATGACTTTGTAGGTTATATTATCATATATAAAGATAGTTAAATAATAATAATGTAATCATATTATACCGTTCTGAACTTTTAAAAAGGCCGCCTTTATTGGCTGATTTCCTGCTGAGGTTGGTCTGGAGAACAGGAGACGAGTCAGGGGTTTGCAGGTCATGGACTGTCATCCTGCGGCTTGGCAGTCTTGATTTGACCTGTATTTGAAAAGAAACCAATTGTCTTTCAAGCTTATCTGAAATGTGTCTTTAGGATGACTTACAAAATATGTCCAGGGACTACAGATGAAAAATAGCCTCTTGGCATGATTAATGTGCACTGTTAAAATAAATGAATACATACAAATTGTTATTCTAGCATGTGTACTTTACAATGAGGTGGTGTTGGATTTCATTATAATTTGATTTGATTGTTCTGCCTGAGCTGCTGTTAGTCTGTGCACTTGTATAAAATGAGGCACTTTTACCATTTTGAAAAAGGTGAAACAAAATTGCACTAATTAATATTCTGCGAGCATTGTGACACAAATGTTCATGAATGTACTGGTAATGTACTAGTTCACATGAGGCTGACCTTGGGACTGGGGGGGTCCTGCAGTCCAGTGTTTGTGCTGAGTGGGAGAGTCTGCTCCAAGGTTTTTGGCGAAATTCCAGCTGGAGTACAAAGTGTTACAAAGATTAAACCATTGAACCAGAAGTATGGCAAGAATTGTGCATATTCCAGCTAAGTGATTTAAAAAACAAATGCAATTATGTCAACATAAAATCTTTGGGATATTATCAAACTGACATATTTAATATGGTGGTTTTTGCTCACACCTTAATTATCCTAGTGGCCAATACAAGTGACATTGCATTGCACTGATGAATCCCCATGTAGTGAGTTAAGTGTGATGTAGAGAGTTGATTACCTAAATAGGTGAAAAAAAGCTGATCGAGACACATACCTAGCGGGGAGGACTGCTGTGTAAAGGCTCCTCTAGTTGCCAGCCGTGGGGTGTTGAAGGTAAATCTTGGACTTGGAGCTCTGCAGCCTCCGGACTGTGGGGAGTCGCTGTCGGCACAGCAGAGTGTGGCCCTGCATGACACGAGACAACGTTACAAAAATGCAGAAGAGAACAGAGAGGAACTGAAGTGGGATGGGAGCAGAGTTGAGAAAACAGAGTGACTATACGTGCCTGGTGGAGCCATGCAGGCCAACAGGTTGCAGGTTCTGCTCCATACGGTGGTAGTTGTGGATTTGTGATGGGACAGGAATGGGCACTGAGGGTGTGCACGTACGGCCAATCATATCAACAGGCTTGCTGCATTAATACAAGAGTGAGTCAATTAAATAGACACAGGAATGTGAATTCACATATAAATAAATAAATAAATTACGTAATAAATTATAATGTTGAACCTACAATTAATTTAAGGAGCCATTACTGGTTTTTTTTTACAACCAGAAGTTACAAGACGTCTTAATTTACTTGGATGCAATTAAAACACTTTCAAGAAGTTTTACTTCTCAGAATGAAGCCTGCTTTATTGTCTATCTTTTTCTAATTTGGTAATTTATTAAACAAGTTAAATGTGGGGTCATTTTTTCATAGACTTCCATACTACCACATTTTGCAACCAATTTATCATACTTATACTTATAATATGATTGATTTTTTTCTTCATAATGATATCTAGGACACTTTCGCATTGACTTCACTTTTCAGGTCAGGAGATGGTTACTTGGTTTGAGCTCAAATGTAATCTAAGATATGTACAGTATCTCAGAACACTTTTTTATCTTTCACAAAATCTGAACCAGCCTGGCTTTATCTTACCCAGTGGGCTTGGAGGGAGAGTGCAGCAGGGGAGAGGGGGGAGGTGTCTTTCCTGCATTTCGCTCAGCAAGTGGAAAACTCCTAAAGAAATAAATATGTTAGTTTGGTCTGCACATGATATTGTTGAATAACAAAAGATTTTGAAAAACATTTCTCAACAAATCAATTTTGCGTTTTTTCTACAGCCAATGAATCGTAGGACGTTTTATTACTGTTACTGTGTTTTTGTACATATACTCACCCACTGTATATCAGGCAACTCTCAATGGGTGACCCAACTTCCAACTCACATATGCAATCACCTTCAAAGCAGCAAAATAGGAGAAGTCACACACAAAACAAAATAATCTGATTTCTGCAGAGTGAGGTTCAGCCACTTACTTGGATACTGGGCAGGCACCATGACATAGTCCTCTGTGTAACATGACGTGTTCTTAGTGTCGTGATTGGCTATTTCTTTCAGGAAGCCGGGGGTGTCCTGTGAAGGTGAATAGCGCAATTTGGGCTGAAGACGGTGCATTTCTCCTTCGGAATGCTAGGAAAACATAAAATAATTATCTGACAATTTTGCAAATGTCTGTACATTACTACCACATTGAAACTGAATAGCTCTTTGACTTTCAATACAGATGTACTATTCCTTATTTGCTATATTTCTATTGTATTTTCTTATTTGCATATTTATGTTTTGTGTAAGCATTTATTTTTAATTTATTGTAGTTTTGATAATATTCTTTTTTTTCAATATTTGCTTTTTATTTACATTTAAATTTATCTTACTGTGTTTAAGTATGAACCAGTATGCACCAAATAAACAGAATTTCAAATATGAAGAACTGTTACATAACTGTGTATACCTGTAAACAAACAAATGATGACCTTATATATACACATAAAAAAGAATAAATCCACAACAGATAGATGTAGGTACTTGAGGGGAGGCCGGATGGGATGTGGAGGAGCTGTCAGAGGAACTGGCCGAGCCTGAGCCGGGAAATGGAAGCACGGGAGCAGCTGGAGAACCTGTGAAAGAAAACCATAAAAGTGATATCGTTAGTACACCAGCTAGAACAACATATGTATTGCTTTTAAACTGTACAGAAACGAGTTACATAGAGTCCATACATTTCTTTGTGGATGACCTGATCTCCAAGAAAGGATGGTGAAAAAACTCATCTGCAAATAAAAAAAGATCAAAATGTAAGAGAGGCTTTTTAAAATAGAATGCTGAAAACAGGTTCTAAATGTTAAAAAGGAAAGAAGCTTACCAAAGCTGATTCGTTTTTGGTTGCTCCTCTGCAGAAGCCCCAAAAGTAGATGTCTTAAGTTACTAGAAGTCTCTTTTGGGATGCTATGAAAAAAGATAAAAATGATTGAGGGTGGTTAATTTCTGCATACAGCTTTATACACTGTAAACTACTTACGCTGCTATTATTTTAAGTGATTTTATATATAGTTCAGTGTGTTCAATGTGTTTGCATAACTGATGTAGTCTTAAAATAAATACTATTTAGGTCACTTGGGTTTGGTAAGATCAGAGTGAGCTTTAAAATGTGTGAATATTTAATCTTATTTGCCGCTTCAATTCAAAACCCTAGGGCATCATAACACTCCCCTCCAAGTATGTGTGTGTGTGTGTGTGTTTACATGTGCGTGGAGCTGTGTGGGTCAAGTGGAAAATGATAAGCGTGCAGGTCACTAGCTGGCAGCTCAGCACATGCTATATATAGCCTGTGACCTAAGATTTCCAACGACATAATCACTCTGTAGCTATGTTAGTTTGACAATAAAGAACCTTGAACCTTGAATATAGAATGACAAGAAAACAACCAACTATGTCTCCCCCCTGCATCTCAACATGTGGCTTTATCACAGCGAAAGATAAGCGTGGCCACCAGCCATTACGCTGCCTGGCAAAGTACAACATGCAAAGACCTTTGAACGCTTTCCAGATCCAAGTTCTGAGCATGTGGGTTGATATGACTTTAAATAGCCAGCCAATAGGCATTTGGTAACTGATTTCAAAGCATAGTCTCACACTTTTACATGTAAAACACCCCATATAGAGAAGTATTTCATAGGCAAGTTCTTGATGATTAGCCCTGTTAGGTGTCAGTTACTTACACAAGAGGATTATTTTTAATGGGGGTATGGGATTTATTAAGTGCTAACTACCCAATATGTATTTCTGTGTTCATGTGTGTGAAGCTACATGGTTTGTAAACTGTCTGTCGGCACAACGGACATCATTCACACATCAGAAAACTAAATGCAGAGAAGACAGATCCCCCCCGTAATCCCTGTCATCTCCTCTGCGTATTGTGTGCACAGATATAGATATTGTTGTTGTCGTTGTCCACTGACCTGGGTAAGAGGGTGCTGTTGCTTTCATAAAACTGACGGAGCTCCTGCGGTGTGCTGGCCTGTACACAAACACATAAACAAATGACACCTGCATCTTTAAACATGCGTTCAAATGAATTATAGTTGAAAGTCAGACTATTTATTTGACTGCATTGCTACTCTGTATGCCACAGAGCATATCATCCAAACATAAATAATATGTAGGTGTTAATAATAGGTGGAATGCTTGGTGATGCCAAGCATAAACATCATCCTCATGAGCAGCAGCAGCTGTCCTCACACCAACCCCTGCACTTATCTCAACTCAGGGACCTGCCTGGCAGAAATAGAAGGCAATCTTCCCTCTCATTAAAGGGAAATTAATTCAAGGAAATGGCATCATAAATAACCTCAAAAAGGTAAAAAGAGGTCATATATGGGGATGAAATGGACTTCAGTCAAAGAAGGGACCAAAGAAAGAAAACATTAGCATCTGTTTATACATAAGTCACGACTTAGGCAATCTGCACAGTTCAGTTGTGTCATCTGACAGCCACGTGAACAGTAGAAAGTAATACCAAGGGTTGTGAAACATTATTTATTCTGGGTTTGAAAAATGGCCTGCAGCCATTTCCACTTGTCCTCCATCTGTAAATAAGGTGCTTTCCTAACAAGTGGTCAAGAGGTTGCAGAAGTTTCCAACTAACAACCCTGAAGACCAGGGTGAGTGTCACCTTGCAGGGAGGCAGGTGCTTTTTAATGGTTGTGCTCATAATCATGAGTTGAGATGTTATGAAAGGGATGCATCATGTTCTCTTTTGTGCTCACAATAATGAGAACGCCCTTTCCAGGAAGTAAAGCAAAACTAACCCATGTAAGGGTCCTTAGCAAGCATTTGTTGGCCGATGCTGACTCCATTTTCTTACATTTTACCCTCTATATCTGTGGAACCAAATCTACAAAACTGCAGGTCCACTGTGACTCTAAGTTCATTCAAATCAAGGCCGAAGACTTTTCTTGATTGTATTACATCCAATATTTGTAATTTCATAAACTGCACTGTAACTTGTATTTTATAGCTGGGTTTATTTTAGTTTTGCATCTTTTTATTTTGTATTATCTAAGCTTTTAATTACTGTTCTTAATTGTACATTTACCTGCCTTGTTGTTGAAATGTGATATATTAAAAACTTGCCTTGCCTTCACACCTAAAAAGAATGATGTTTCAGTTTTGTATGTTTTTATTTTTGTGTGCCTCTCACGTGAAAAGGTGCCTTCCCGGTCAGACACTGGTACACAATAGTACCTATGCTCCACAGATCAGCCTTGGCATCATAGTTCTGGGACATGATGACCTCAGGAGCCTGCGTGCAGACAACCACAGACACCAGTTTAGAGTCATGGTGACATTACACTTTGATGTTAGATTAAACCTGAGATTAATACTCACCATGTACATGGGAGAGCCACACAGCGTGGCTGCCATAGTGTTTGTCTGGAGGTGACGTGCAAACCCAAAGTCAGCTGGAGCGTGGGAAACGTCAGGTGAGGGACAAACAGTCGAGGGTAGGAATGGAGAAAATCAAATATCAGGATATTGTTAGACATATACTGTACCTCCAATGATATTGCAACATGGTTGTAGGGTTGATTATAGCTGCATTTAGAAAAGGTTTACACAATACGATTTTTCAGAAGTGTTGATATAATAACTAAGTGGGTAAAGCAAAATTACAAAACAGCTACACCACACATGTGAGTTTAGAAAATGACATCAGTTACTGTAATGCAGCATTTTAAAACCACTGAAAGACAATACTTTTGCCATATTACCTATTATATATTCAAAAATCTAAGACAATATCTAGTCTAATATCAGATTTTGTATTATTATTTTTGCACATTCCTAGTAGAGTGTTTGTGAGTAGTGAGCAATCAACTCACTCCATGAACCATTGCATTTTCACAGACAAACTGTTCGTTTCCTTCCTCTCATACTCTGCAGTATTAGGTCCTTACCTATCTTGAGGCAGGTGTTGTTGGGGCTGGACCTGCGCCCCTCGGGGTGGCAGAGTAGGATGTTTTGGGGTTTCAGGTCTCTGTGGAGAATGCCTTTGCTCTGCAGGACCTTCATGGCTTGACCGATCTGATGCAGGAATACTCGGATGGTGTCCTCACTTAACGTGCCCTTGGCTGAGGGATGAGATACATGAAAGGATTCAAGAGGAAGTTAGCAAGGCAGTGAATGAAAGGTTCACCATAATGCATGGTATGTAGATACACGTGAATGCGTGAAGCGACATGAATTCCAAGCTATGAACTATTATTTTGATATTTTATAATTTAATTCTAGGTTGAACTCTTTTATATAAAAATATATATATAAGCTTGAGCAGATCCCAATGTAATACAAACTAAGGAACAGGTCAAACTAAGCTGAATTCTGGGTTTACTTGATAAATGAAGAATGATAGTTGCCTCTTGAGTATATTAATTGATAATTTGACTAATGAAACATATAAATAGCTATTTTGCATTTTATTTTCTAAAATCTAAAGAGAAGCATAAAGACAGACCAGTAAACTTGGTAAAAAATTGTTGTAGCAAATTAAGAGTCCAAATAAAATAAACTAGTAGATGAATTGAAGAGTCAATCAAAAGGACATTAAGTACTTTTTTATAACTTCTGAGTCATTATTAAGGAGCCTTTTTGAGCACAAAAAGTGAAGTGATGTTTTAGGGGATTCATTGGAATGGGGAATTCCAAAAATCATCAATCATTAAGAGAATAATAACCACAGTAACACCATACAGTGTAAAAATGCATGACTCTAATCAGCGTCCCTGCTGTCATACTTCTTGGAAGAGAATTTTGTTTACGAGAGGGCTTCATTTGGATATGAATATGAGGGCCGTCTGACACGCTAGCCCCCCCCACATCCCCTCCCCGCACATCCAGTATTTCTAGCTGCTGTGATTTTCCACCGGAGCACAGGAGATAAGTGAGTGGCAGATGGGTGAGGTCATGTGGGTGCTGCGTGAACCTTTCCAACACTGACTGAGTGTTGTTCTCCGAATAGCTAGATGGGCCTCCTTGGCAGGCCCACAGAAGGGGCGAGTCTAAAAAATAAGAGACGCTGGCAATGTGACAGAATTAGATCGAGGAGGTAAATTCACCCTGGGAAAAATCAAGCACTCCAGTTGCATCATCATATTTTGGAGCAGGGTTTGAAACTTGAGGCAGAGGACATTTTCGGCATCATGGTGAAGTGAGAAAAGTTTTTTTATCATTCTGAACATTCAAACGTGGTAAAATAAGGTCCTCAGAATAGTCATAAACTGAAAACTTAAAAGGAGTTGTTATTGCCACTCATTTTGTAATGGTTTCTACATAATTTGTAGGAAAAACCTAGAGGGAAAGACTTATCACAAGCCAATTCCTGGGGTTTAGCTTTATCTGGGCTAAGCACTAAAGGGAGTATTAGTGATCATTTTCCCACTGACATGTTGGAAACCTGAATGATGTGGTTGTTCTGCGTTTCCTCTTTAAAATCCTATTATTTCTTCAAAACACTGATCAAGCTTACTCAAGCCTCTTAAAAGCATTTCAACTGACGTGCCTGTACGACAGTAAGCTGCTAATACAAGTTTACACATAACAAACTGAAGGTTTGACCCTCCGATGCAGCAGCAAGAAGTGATGTGAATGTCCCCTTTTTTGCTTTGACCACAGGGGAAACGGAAGACTTTACAGTACTGTAGGAGCTAAATTAAGCCCAGCAGGATGTGGCAAACTTACAGTGGAGGTACTCTGCCAGGTCGCCTCCATTGCAGTACTGAAAAGATGAGACAGACAACTCTTAGAAGTAGCTTTGACAAAGCTTCCTTGTTAGTGATGGTGGTTTGAATGTCTTTTTCCACAGACTCTTAGTGTTCATAAAAATACTCACCTCCATGACGAGATACACACATCCTCCCATTTCCTGTTGAGAAATCAAGATTCAATGCTTGTTATCATTTTCAAATAGTGACTGGAAACCTATGTTAAGAATATGAATGAAAGTGTGAAAAGTGACAAAAATAAAATCACATTTATAAATCACAAATGCATAATTAGGACATATAGTCAAAGTCAACTTTATTGTCAATCTTTCAGTTTGTGTGTACAGACAGAGAGATCAAAATATTGTTTCCCACAATCCTGAATAAAAAAAATACAAATATATATAAAACATGTATATACATATATAAAAACATGTATATACATATTTTTATATATATATATTTTGATTTTTTGTATTCGGGATTGTGGGAAACAGTATACCAGCAACCCATCAATGTGCAAAAGGTTACTAAACAAGTGACAACAACTCATTTCCTATTCTCAGATGACAGTTTTTTGACACACTTTTTCAAGAAATTCTGGGCCCCCTGTCAACATTGAACTCAGGGGCCTGAAATGGGACCCCGTTGTGGCCCCTGTCCAGCTCCAACCCCCCTGAATCATCAAACACACCTCACTTTATTTGGCGCCCCATTTTAGCAGCCGGGAAAAAGTCACAGACCGGCAAGATGATAAGGGTTGGGGAAAATTGTAATTTGTTTAGGGTGTTATTAGTTACAGTTATGAGTTTTTGACTTGTATATCAAGTTAAAGCTAGAAAGTGGAGTGAAACTTAACTATTTACCTCTTGTAATTTTGTATAAACAGCATCCTGGGTATTAGGATGCAGTGTATCACTACATAATAGAGAGCAGGTAAATGAAGAGACAATGCCATCTACTGCAGCCTGACGTGAGTGTAGTCATTAGCTTTGCAAGCTGGTGTGTGTCAGCAGTGAGATGCTACTCACACACGCATTCTGTGTTTTATAATCCATTGTTTAACTGGCTGCACCCTGCCATCTGTTAGGAATAGTGAGAGATCAGCTCATCCCTGTCTGCTGTCTTGCAGGTGTCAGTAAGGTGAGAAGATAAAAGCCCGCAAACACACTTCTTAGCAAATGGCTAATGGCCTGTGCTGTGTGGCTTCAATGCTAATACATCTGTTATAAAACCAGTTTGCACTTCAGGGCTTTGAGTTCACTACTCTCATGAAAAACTACAACATCCAACAGCCAAATCTGTAGTGCATGAACAAGTGACGTTCAATGTTGTGGCAACATTTCAACCATGGATGTCACTGAGTTTGGTGACTGAGCATATGTGTGTGCTGATGCTTGTGAGAGGAGGAGAGAGGGGAAAAGAGAAAAACAAACATTTCCATTTTTACCTGATAGTCAAGAAGTCGGACAATGTTTTCATGTTTGAGTTCCTGGAGAAGATGGGAAAACATTTTAGATAAAAACATACACAGAGGCGGACAATATGTGTGGCAACATTACAATTTAACGTATTACCTTTAATATTTTGATTTCTTTACCAAGCAGAGACTGAGATTTGGCCAAGTTTTTCTTGTTGATACATTTCACAGCAACTACCCAGTCACGTTTCTTAGAAAAGTAAAATAAAAGCAGGAAAACGTCAAGAATCCTTACAGTTATCAATGAACACAAACTTTTGATCTCACATATTAAAGTTACCTCTTTATGTCTGCCTCTGAACACAACTGCAAAAGCCCCATGTCCAATCAGGTCTTTCCTGTTGAACTCAAACTTCCCAATAGTTTCCATGGATAATTTTTTTAAAAACGCGTTGAAGTATCCGAGCAGGTTCAGGAGTTTGATTGTCCAACTAAAGACGACGTACAGTCCCACGGCACTTCCCTCTTGCCGGTAAATCCCATTTCATTGATGGAAAATAAAGTCGTCACACATGACAAGCTTTAAATATCGATGACAACATGTGTCTGTCAACACAAAATGTACAAAAACAACGTGCGTACGAATAAACAACTGTTTAAACAAAGTATTAGCGATACTGTGCTCATTTAAAGACCTTTTTAAGTGTTAGCACCAATAGAAGTTCAAAGCTGTTGTTAAACGCTGTTTGTTTTCAGACACGGAGCTCAGATATTATTGTCTTACTCACCTTTCTACATACGCTTGAGTTATTCATATCTCACGGCGCGCATGCGCAAAAAGAGGTTTGGTGATGGCGCCTTCAGGGACACCTCGTAAACTCCTAAGTCAATGTCTCAGTTTGGTTAACACTTATTTATAAATAAACTCTACATGTAACTCTATATCAAGAAGGAGCCATTTCCAAGTGTGGGTTTTATGAGTGCTGGTGTTTTAATGTTAGCTGTCTAGTTTATTAATCCTTGTATCTACCGTCCAATTATTTTTTCTTTATTAAACACGTAAACAGAAGAGCGTCTGAGAGGCCTTTTTGCTTTATGCTTTTTACTAAATGGGTCCTTGGAGCGAGGGGCGGGGCGAAACTCACGGAAGTGATTTCAAAACAAAAGCCCTCGTTTGCTTGGAACGGTGATAATATTATAAACAAAGGGAAACAAGGTGAATTTAGCGATCACAGCGAAAACGGCCAAGACACACATTGAGCCCAGAAAACGAATGTTATTAAGGGCTGTAAATATAATAAGCCTATGTCTGAAATGGTTGTTGTTAGGAGATTTAAACTATACAGCGATTATTATTCCTGATATATTTGACGAGTGATACAAATATTTGTTACCACAAGTCCGTAAGGAAACTGACACTGTTGGACTCGGTTCTAGTTTGACTGCTACCAGAAATAAAATGAAGTACTTTTACTATGTAGGGTAGGCTACTTTGTGAGTAATCCTCTGTCAAAGTCCCCTCCATAGTAGCCTACATAATGCATGTTTTTCTGCTATCTTTGATGAATGATAAAAATATAATTTTACCATTAGTTCTTAATGAAATGTATACTGTTTGACTTCTTATTAGTTAGCCTACTACTAACAATACATTGAAGTACTTTTACTGTGTATTTTTTGGGAAATACTCTGTCAAAGTCCACTGCTGAGAACAAAATCAAGCCGCTTCGGCTAAGTTTGATGAGGGAATTATTTTTTGTTGCCATTAGTTCTTCGTGAGATTGATCCTGTTGGACTCAGTACTAGTGAAACTACCCCCACAAGTAGCCTACTATGAAGTACTTACTGTGTACTTTTCCAGTAGCTTACTCCTCTGTAAATGTCCCCTCCTGAGTACAAGAATGCATGTTTCTCTGCTGTTTTGAATAAGCGTTAAAAAAAAAACTTTCTTCCTGAGACTTATATTGTTGGACAGAGTATTTTAAGAGGATATGGTGGACATGATATCAGCAATACTTCCAGTCAGTACTCCAGCAGCAGCATTTTTACACCTTGGAAAGTCTTTAGAGTCTGGCCTGGATAGCTGGTCACAAATATCCTTCAGCACACTGACACACTCTGTCACATGGTTGCCCTCTTATGATGCTGCTGTCTTTTAAGATTATTTCTCAGCCGCTAGTTCATTCCTCGCAGATTCTTCAGTCTCATCAGCCTCATCCTTCCATCAGGCCCAGTCAACGCCTCCAGCACACTTCCAGTGTCTGACTCCATATGATATTGTCCTGATACTGTAAGGGTGATGCCCCATGATCACAAAATGACCCCTCTAAAGTCTGAGTGCCAACTGCTAAGGACCTCATATTATGTCTGTCATTAATGTTACATCACCCATTATAACAGTTTTCTTTCCTTTTTTCTCTTCTCTTAACTGAATAGTCCTGTCTTTAAATATAATACAATGTAAAGTCTTTTTCCTGCACCATTTTAAGGCTTCAAAACAGGCATTTTTAGTGTATGTGTTTGGAGAAATGACACAATCAATGGCCCAGAATTGTACTTTATAAACTCTGAATCTTGTGGTGCTTGGTGAAATACAGACTGGTTAAGCCGGCCAGGTTATATATGTATGTGTATGCCTTTTTTGGAGCCCTTTTTTGTAATATTTATTAAAATGTCACTAGTTATTTGAACAAACCACTATCTGAGGATAACAAGCAACCATAAAACGCCCTTTATCTAGAGAGCCATTGAAGCCCATGAAGAATTTATCCTTCCACAAATCTTTTCACTGCTGTATTAAAAAAGTTGCCACGTGTTTCCAAATTCAAGTTAAGGCACTATCTGTGCAGATTAGAATATTACAAATATTCTTAATTTGCAGCATTTTTTTAAAAAAGTGTTCAGAAAGACTGCATCAATTATATGCTATATATCTATATAATATCAATATTTGTATTAACTAACCAAAGTCAATTTAAATAGTGGGCACAAATGGGTTAATTGCCATGGATGTGGTGTTTGATATAGTTTACGTTCAATTTCAACTATTTTAGGCAGAAAAACGTATATTGACTAAACCTTTTTTAATAATTTATTATAATTTAGAAAGGTTTTTGTGAGAAATCATTTCAAAAGTAAACTTTTTTTCATTTTATATTTAAATTTGAAATGTTTGCACACAACATTATTAATTTATACATTTTTATCAATTTAAAAAAAATTATGAATCCATTTATTTTATTGTGTTTCCTTGAGGCTGGGGAAGATATCATGTAGTTCAACATGTAAATGTTCTAATACAAGTAAGTATAACATGGAAAAGGAAATAAAATATGTTTCATAGGAGGATGTGGATTTATTTTCTCTCACCTTGTAATTACACAATCAAACAATCTATAATTTAGCTCTGGCCTTCACTCACAAAAAAACATTTTGTTGAATTGGACACATTTTTCGAAGCTCTAATGACTGACATGCAATGACTGGGACTGATGGAATAATCCGTGAGGAATGAACTAGGAGCAGAGAAATAATCATATTTTAAAAGACAGCAGCCCCATAAGAGGCCAAAAAGAGTGACAGAGCTGTCAGTGTGCTGAAGGATATTTGTGACCAGCTATCCAGGCCAAACTCTAAATACTTTCCAAGGGGTACAAATGCTGCTGCCGGAGTACTGACTAGAAGTATTGATATCATGTCCACCATATCCTCTTAAAATACTCTGTCCAACAATATCAGTCTCATGAAGAAAGGTTTTTTTTAACGCTTATTCAAAAGAGCAGAGAAACATGCATTCTTGTTCTCAGGAGGGGACATTGACAGAGGAGTACTGGAAAAGTACACAGTAAGTACTTCATAGTAGCCTACTTGTGGGGGTAGTTTCACTAGTACTGAGTCCAACAGGATCAACCTCACGAAGAACTAATAGCAACAAAAAAGAATTCCCTCATCAAACTTAGCAGAAGTGGCTTGATTTTGTTCTCAGCAGGGGACTTTGACAGAGGATTTCTCAATAAATACACAGTAAAAGTACTTCAATGTATTGTTAGTAGTAGGCTAACTAATACAAAGTCAAACAGTATCCATTTCATTAAAACTAATGGTAAAATTATATTTTTATCATTCATCAAAGATAGCAGAAAAACATGCATTATGTAGGCTACTATGGAGGGGACTGATAGAGGATTACTCACAAAGTACACAGTAAAAGTACTTCATTTTATTTCTGGTAGAAGTCAAACTAGTACCGAGTCCAACAGTGTCAGTTTCCTTAAGAACTTGTGGTAAAACATATTTGTATCACTCGTCAAATATAGCAGGAATGAAGAGCAGCTAATTTGAAAAAACAAACTCGAGAGACGGCGGAGTGACCGCAGTGCAGAATCGCTGTATAGTTTAAATCTCCTAACAATGTTGTCCATTTTAGACAGAGGCTTATATTTACAGCCCTTAATAACATCCATTTTCTGGGATCAATCTGTGTCTTGGCCGTTTTCGTTGTGATCGCTAAATTGTAAATTCACCTTGTTTCCCTTTGTTTATAATATTATCACCGCTTTTGTTTTGAAATCACTTCCGTGAGTTTCGCCCCGCCCCTCGCTCCAAGGACCATTAGACCATTTAGTAAGGTAAAAGCAAAAAGGCCTCTCAAACGCTCTTCCGTTTACGTGTTTAATAAAGAAAAACAATTGGACGGTAGATACACGGATTGCTGGACTGCCTCAAACCTTAGTTTAAACGAAACAGTATGATGAAAGGTAAAAAATGCACATATGAACACCTTAGTGTTATTAAAATTGAACAAAAATGGCAAACCATCCTTAACCATTCTAAAGAATTCTGTGGCAGTGACATTTGTTTCTTGCATGTACATGTAGTTGTTTGTATAATACAGGATGTCTTCATACAATTTCATATCACACTGACAAGTTCTTTTAGGTTTCGGTATTGTTTTCAAAGCCATCCTTACCAAATATTGATAAATAATAATGTAATTCACATTTACAAATGAACAAATTATATTAAATGTAACGGCTTACAACCAATACAAATGTGAGTATGATAGTGAAAATCATGGAAAAAAAGATGACACTGTTTTCTTGTCATAAACGTTTTATAATAAAGATAATTGGAAGCACAAATAATAGTACCTTAAGACAACCATCATTAAAGGCTTTACAAGCTTAGAAATATTGAAATGTTTACATTTGACAGGAAAAGTGAGCGCAGAGTCACTTACAGTAAATCCTGCTTTAAGGAAAGTTAATTTTGGTACAGTGTAAGATCAATAACATTTCAAATGATGTTATCTCCCTCCATTCTCACAGTATTTTAAGAAGAAAAAACAAACAACCTTATAAAGTCCCTCTGTTGTAAAACATATTTCATTATACAAAAAAAATATGAAAATTAAAAAGAAATTAGCAACAGAAGTAACTAAAGACACCTTCACAGAATTGTGTCAAAAACACAACCAGTATTCACTTTTCCTCAAGAAGCATAACATACTGCAGCTTACTAAGTTGTGAGGTACTGCAAATCCAGTTCATTTCAAGAGAGGAAAAAACACGAATAGACAGAATTTAACATGAGAACATACCTATTGTTGAGCTGTGACACTTGATGCAGAAATCCGATTCACACAATAAATAAATACATTATATCAGAATTACATGTGGTCTAATTATCTGCTGCTGCATCCATTATTATCATGCAGTTGTTTTGCGCCGTCCCCAATATTGGATTAAAGCTGAATGAATCAGGTGAATCTGTGAAATACTACAGCTGG